TTAGCTTATAAGCAAAAAAAAAAAATTAATTAATTTAACATTTTATTTGAGGAGGGATTTATTTGGTTACGTGAACAACTCTTTAGAGAATTCAATATATTCAAGAAAAAAGAGATTCGCTAGCTTTTACAATTAAATATTAAAGTACTGACATGGCAATATAGAAAAGGAAAAGTAAGTAGATGTTGATAGTAATTTGATGAATATAGTAATTTTTAAAAAAATTAAAATTGTATTAGGGATGCATTTACTATTTAAAGTGGGATGAATATATAAAACTTGTGTGAATCTATAATGTTTAACTGAATGAATTTAATAAGGATAATATTGAAAATTGACGTGGATGAAAACAGTAATTTTTTAAATTTTAATATGAATAGATATAGAGTGTGATGAATATATAAAAATTGTAGATGTAAATAGCAGTACCCTTTAGTTTTAATGAAAACCAAAATTTTTAATAAATTTTAATAAGAGTTGATGAAATATGTGATTGAAAACTTACGATTCTCATTAAGGGCATGTCTGTTACCGATTTCCAACAGATTTTAAGCAGAAAAATGGCCATTTTTTTTTCAAACGGTGGATCCCCCCTGTGTTTAAGATAGTCAACAATGTCTGCATTTTTTAAAAAGTAATGGTACACAAATCAATTTTTTTGGTTAAAAAATATGTGACAAATGCGCCCTAAATATGTTATTGAAAATGAATTTGAAAAAAAAAATAATTTAAGAAATGGACCAAACAAGAGTTAAATTGTCATATCTTTGGAGCATTACGAACTTAGATCGTTGGCCGATGTGACTAAGATAGTTATCAGTATATGTGGCTTTGGATGCAAGCTCCTCAAAAGTAATGGGTTGTACACCTTGTAGATGTACAATGTATGATTGAAAATTGTTCAAATACGAGTGAACTGCTTCTGGTTCGAGGTGAGGTGTGGAAACATACTAAGGGAGGCTTTGCAAGTCGGGCTTTAAAAATGATGCCTTTATTAGTCGGTTTGGATGGACTTCGTCGTTCTTTCTAATTGCGACCCCCTTTGTAAAGTGATGCCCCTTCTCTCGAAGTTACGAGACTATTTTGTTGAATTCTTTAGAGAGAATTCACTCGCATCCAAACATATCAATAGTCTACGTCATTCTATAGTTTCAAGAAAATTTGCTCATGTATCAATCAAAATATTTGATGGAATGGCTTCATTGATTTTTTAACCAACCATGTCATTAATATATTAGGTAATTAGAGATTTAAAGTCAAAATATTCTATTTTGTGGGTTTTTGATTTGACTTATTCTACGGTTCAAAATTCGTGGGCTGGGCTCTTACTTTGGCTCAAGGCTTCAGCCTATATTTGTGCTGATTTGCCTCTTCGTCCATCCTCTACTTCAGTTTCAACCTTTCAAGAAGTTCAGAGTTTTAGCCAAGAGACTCACAGATGGATACAAGCAATGATCAGGTCATTCATGACGTTCCACCTTATCTAAGGGTCTACAAAGATGGAACCATAGAGAGACTTTTTGGAACGGAAATTGCACCAGCAACCTTTGATCATCAAACTGAAGTTTCCTCCAAAGACATAGTTGTCGTACCCGATACCGGTGTCTCTGTCCGGATTTATCAACCCACTCTCACACCCAACCACCAAAAACTTCCTTTGGTTGTCTACTTCCATGGTGGAGCATTTTTCATATCTTCGATCTCTGATCCCAAGTACCATAACGTGTTAAACATACTAGCTTCCGAGGCTAAAGTTGTCATCGTCTCAGTTGACTACAGAAGAGCCCCCGAAAACCCTCTTCCGGCCGCCTATGAGGACTCATGGGCTGTGCTTCAATGGTTGGCTTCCCACAATTCAGGAGGTGGCACTGAAAACTGGCTGAAGGAAAACGTTGACTTTGACAGGTTGTTTTTGGCAGGGGACAGTGCTGGTGCAAATATATCACATCACTTGGCAATCCGCGTTGGGCGGTTGGGCGGGTTTTTGTCAGGGACCAAGATTGATGGCATTCTTATGATACAACCATACTTCTGGGGTGAAGAACCAGTCGGGGTCGAGGCACGTGATCCAATACGCAAAGGTATGGTAGACAAATGGTGGCAGTTTGTTTGCCGTTCAGATAAAGGCAACAATGATCCCTGGATCAACCCATTTGTTAATGGAGAACCAAATCTTGCTGGATTAGCTTGTGAGAGGATTCTTGTTTGTACAGCTGAGAATGATATCTTGAGGGATAGAGGGAGATTGTATTACGAGTCACTTTTGAAGAGCCAATGGAAAGGGAAAGCTGAAGCTTTTGAGACAGAAGCAGAGGACCATGTTTTTCACCTCATCAATCCCACTTGTGACAAAGCTGTCAAACTGATCAAGCGCTGTGCTGAATTCATAAACCATAAATGAATGAATGATCATCTTTTGTACCAATTTCGAAAATCCTACCAATAATAATGATATTATCAAATCATATTCTACATATTTTTCTTTTGTATGTTGTTATTTTGCGCCCCTTAATCCCAAATTGTTAGCTTGCCTCATAAAGTGAACAAATTATCTATGCTACTTCGGAAATTGTTGATTAGAATTTAGCAAAAGTTCTTCAAACCGAAACTTGCACTAAATTAAAAGCCCATTTAACAAGACTTTTGAAAAGTCAAAAACTTCTTCTGAAGCTAAGAAACTGTTTTTTAACATGTTTTGATAATTTTTTGGAAGTATTTTATCTGACTAATAGAACTTTTTAAAATAAGCTAACATAAGATGGCTTTCTCGAGAAGTTCTTAAAAACAAAAGCAAAATCCTGACCCATAAATTTGGTGCTAGCTTATCACCACTCTTAGATCTTTAACACAGACCATAATTAGTTTACCACTTCCTCTTTTGACCAGCTCAAATTAACTTAATGAATTTAATCATTTTAGGATGGAGGTATTGGGATGACGCATACAAATTACAAGTAAATTGTAAGATGCCTAAGTAAAGACAATTGTTGTTGTGTCCCCTCTTTTGGACCTTACCGAAAGGCAGCATGAATGGGAGAAATCAAAATAACTTGAGCAACAATAAGATTTCCATATGTCCTTGAATTAGGATCCTATAGAAATACAAATATCAGGATTGACACAACATGGTAGAACAAGAGATCATTTCAAAGATTGTTGCTTTCTCATAGTACATAAGCTAGAGACACTTGTTCACATCCAAGAGAAAGCAAAACCAAACCAAACCGGTCAACCTTTTTACTGCTGAAATATAATGCTGACTCTAGAAGACAACAGTGTCCAACATAGTTCCCAATGTCTGAATAATGTTCGAAGACATCAAGTTTGAGACATGCTCCTCAAGATGCTTCTTTGCATCTTGCCTTCCCACATTAGCGATAGCTAGCTTTTCTGGTGGCAACTCGTCTTCCTCTTGAACTGCTTTGTTATATTTGATAGCTAAATTAAGCATCTCCTGCACAATTGATGCCAAACTTAACTACTTGCTTCAATTGGAACAAGAGAGTAAAAGAAATCATGCTATGGTAACTTCAAAGTTTTCTTTGGTTAATTACACCCCACTAATAACATGGGAACCCCACAGAGATATCATCTTTATATATATAAGAAAAATAGTCATCGTGGAAATGAATCAACTGATATATACAGGTATCTGATGGATAATCAGTTAAACCCAGAAGAAATTAAACATCCAGAATAGGCTTGTGTTTGACACCCATTTTGGG